AGATGAAGGTATTTAATTGCAATTTTGATTACTATGCAAAAGCATTTGGTAATTATTACTGAGTGAAGGCACTTTATTGCAACTTTGATTACCAGAAAAAAAAACTTACCAATAACCTTGATTATCAGATAATAGTATTGAATTTTTAGATAAAGACACTGACAAAAAACATTATTGTGCAAAGGACTAACAATTTGCTTACCAGGCGAAAATATTTGGCCACAATCTTGATTATTACCAGGTGAAGGCATTTGATCACAACTTTGATTACCAGGCAAAAAAACCTTGATTACCAGGTGAAAGCACTTGACTACAACCTTAATTATTGGATAATGAGATTGAATTTTTTAGGTTAAGACATAAATAATAAACATTATTAGTATGCAAAAACACTAGACTAGGCAAAAATACTGAACTGGATGAAGACACTGGACCAGTCAAAGGCACTGAACTGGGTAAAGACACTAAACCAGGTAAAGACACTAAACAGGATAAAGATACTGAACCAGGCAAAGACACTAAACTGGGCAAAAGCACTAAACTGAGCAAATATACTAAAATTTTAGATGAAAACATAACTTTTAGATAATTATACTAAACAATTATTATGCAATGGCACTGAACAACCAATATAGTTGGATGATATTTTTGAATCATTATTATTAAATAAAAATTCTAAAAAAAAATTAAATAAATTTAATTAAACAAAATACTTTATTATTTTTATTAATTTTCTTAACAGCTATGTCATCATCTAAGTCAATTTCATCATTCAGGATCTCTACTGTATCTGGAACGTTCTCTTCTTCAAAGAGAATATTTTTGTATAATTCATTAACAAGAGTACAATTACTATGAAGTTTGTCTTTATAAACTAGCTCATAAGGGTTTTTTATATAATTTATACTATAAATTATTTATAGAAACTACAACTAATCTCAAACTAAATGACCAGTCACTTTGACTAGTTGTTTCTCTTCATTTTCTCAATTTTGTTCTAAAATACTATTTGCCCATTTGATGAGACCTTGTGACTAAGAGTGCCTAGAGTGCCTATTGATTATCTTTACAAAGGCCAGAGTTCAACCAACTCTTTGATAACTTGTACAATGAACTCTTTGCCATTGTCTGATTTCAGAATAGTAGGTGATAATCCAATTAGATGAAAAATGTCAAAATAGTATATTGCAACTTCAATTGATCTCTTTGATGTGATACTCTTACTTATAAAAACCTACTAAAGTGGTCTCTTATATGACACAAGTACTTAAACTCACCATTTGAGATATAGGATAGATCAATTAGATCTATCTACAGAATAAACATCTAATTAAAAAATTTTAAAAATTTTAATTTAATATCAAGAACAAAATAAAACATACCTGTAGTTATAACAAAAAATTCTTAGCAATTATAGGTTTTGTTACTAAAGAGTGAAATGACAGTTTCCTTACAGCATAGGTTGTACAATTGTTTACAAACTCTTTTATGATTTCTTGTTTTATGTATTTCTATTTTTCATGAATCAATATCCACATTTGCTTCTGACTGCTATATTGAGTTACTTCATTATGAGTATGACAGAGAACCTTATAAAACCTTTCAGTTATGAGCACAGGGCTTTTTAAAGCCTTTATGATTACTCTGTAATTTCCAAGTATAATTTTCTCTAACTTAAACTTTTTTTTAGCCCAATCATGTAGGTTTTTATTATACAATAAGATGTCTTTAGGATTTAATAAAATTGTTTTAATTTTATTTAAAAGTTCATTATTAATTAAGGCCTTTTCTTGTTTCATTCTTGGAAGATTGGTGATATACTCTTCTACAATTCATTTAAAGGTGTTCCTGCTAATAAATGTGTATTCCATATATAGGTAATGAACTCATAAGGCCAGTTCAAAATAAAATATGTAAAAAAAAAAAAATAGTAGCATCAAATAAAGTGATGCAATGAGATCAAAGAAAAGGTGGCACCAATAGGAAGTGTAGTTGAAATCAAAGAATAGATAGTACTGATATAAGGTGTAGTTGAGATTAATGAAAATATAAACCCAATGTGAACTAATAGCATTGAGACCAAAGTATATAACACTAATAATAGAGATAGTGTTTAGATAAATTAAAAAAAATAAGTGGTACCCAATGTGAAAAGATAGTGACACCCAATGTGAAAAAATAGTGACATCCAATGTGAAAAGATAGCAACACCTAATATAAAAAAATAGTGACACCAAATATAGAGAGACAGTGTTAAGAGTGGCACTAAATATAAAGATATAGCATTAAAATAAAGCAACTAACATTAAATATAAAAAATGAAAATAGTAGATATCAAGAATCAAGCCAATGTCAAATTTGAAAAAAGATAAGCCAATATCAAATACAGGATGATGCAAACTTAGTATTAAATGCAAGTTAATGCAAAGCCAATGTCAAATACAAATAAGCATAAAACCAAAGCCAAACATGAAGAATCATGAATCCAATTTAAATATAAAAAGAGATAAAGCCAACAAATGCAAAAAAAGAAAGCCAGCAAAAGCAAAGAGAGGAAAGCCAGCAAAAGCAAAGAGAGGAACTAATAAATGCAAAGAAGATAAAGACAACAAATTTGAAAAGGTAAGTCAATGAATGTTTAGTAAAGCTAACTAATATAAGTTCAGGAAATGCCAAAGGTACAAAGCCAAGCTCCAAAAAAGTTTTTTTATATTCTTGGTCATTAATTGCATAGTTATTATATCAGAATAACATCATAATTATATTTTTTCTTACATTTAAAAAAAATTTTTTAATGATGGTCTTGCGTCAGATTAAATTTTATGCACATTAGATAACTGATCAACAGGTGATATACATCATCTAAAAATCAGCATTTAATATGCATCAGATTAGATCTGATGCAAAAAAGCATCTGAGGCACAACAAATACATAACAATACAAGGCTTTGTTTCATTTTTACTAATTAATACTATATGAGAATACACAATTAGCAATTAGCTAGCAACTAACACTACAATAAAATTTCTTAACCAATTATCATAAAATATTTACAACCAAATTTGGAAATCTTACTGCATCAAACTATCTGAATAGAAGCAACAAAACAACATATCTAATCAACCATCTCATAATCAATAAACAAACTATACAAACATATTTAGATTTTTAACACAAGCCAGAACAGTATATACTTATAGTTGCACTTGTGGTCTTTCTAACCAACAACAAACAGGAGACTTTTACAATTCTTATACTTGTCTACTACAAGGAAAAGCTAATAAAAAACTAACTAAATAGATATCCAAATAGATAAACTACAGTATTCCAACTAATTATATTTTACATTATCAAATCTAAATAAGTTTTAACCACTCTAGTAGGTTTAGGTTGCAGATAAATTAGATAAATTAAATAATAATTTTATATATAATCTAAGTCTTATTCTTGTAAAAAATTTGTAAATTGGCTCTAGCCTATGTCAACTCATATAGTTGCTTATAACAAATTATTAATAAAGATAAAGACAAAACCTTACCTTAATACTAAAAAAAAAAAGTATTGAGTATGTATTATAAAAGAAGTAATTAAAAAACTTCACTTATTTGATCTATAATATTTAAAAAATTTTTGATTCATATTTAAGTAAACTTTTAAATTTTAATAATAATATTAATTTATTTAAAAATTTTCAGTTTAAAAGGTTTACTATATTACTATATTATAGATTAACACTATTAATATAACAGCAATACCAAATAAGTAATACAAATATATTATTCATTTAAAAGATCATTTTTTAAAATTTTTTATATATGCCTATATTATCTAAATTAGCTAAGAATACTAATATGATTTTATTTAATTTCTGCTTAATGTATAGTTTTTTTGCAATTCTTTATTTAAACAATAGTAGTAAATTTGCTAAAAAAAACATTAAAAAAACAATTAATCTTTGGCTATTTATTAAAACTATTTACAATAAGTCTAAAAACTTATGCTACCAAAATTTGATAAAAAAAGAAATAGTATTCTTTAAAATAAGCCTAAAGTGTAAACAGAAGAAATCTATAAAAGATTGTTTATAGATTATAAATAATTAATATTGCAAAACTTACAAACTACATTATATAATCTAGTGTTTAGCAAGCTGCCTATAGTAATACAAAAATATTTGCTATTTTAAATAATAGTTATTATCAGAACTTATCTAAAGAAAATAATTATAAAGAACTATTAAAAGATTATTGAAATTTATTTAAAAACAATAATAACTATTAAGATTTTTATAAAATAATAATAATAATTAATATTTGTTTGAAAATAATAACCAAGTTTCGAATCAACTCTCCCCTGCAGATCACTCGACCAAAAATTGTTAAGAAGCAAAACACAGAAAAACCGCAAAACCAACTAG